GTCTAGTTACACACTTGGTGTTACCTCACACGAACCCTGAGATCAATCGATGCAGAAGGGTCGATTTGGCCTTGGATGGCCTTCAATGTACATTTGGAGTCTCTGGCTGCCACGAAACGATGGCCAGCACTGCTAGGGAAGCGCCCAAAGTGGCCAGGATGGCCTCACGCTTGCACTGTCGCAGCTCCACTGCAATGCGCCTCAGCAAGGGGCCAGCACCGTCTACCAAAGAGAATAGTTGAGTACTGTATTTAGACGGTCTTGTGCCATTCCATTCAGAATGCAGAATATGTTTATATCTGAGAAAGTGATGTGATTGGTGGCTGACTCGAGGTTACAGTACACAAAGCGGTGAAAGCACGTCTTTTGGACCATTTTGACAAATTGGACGCTTAGACACCTTTCCTCTCAAAGCAAACACCAGTCCCTAAACCCTTTGGGCGCTCACTTACAGACATCCGCCATGGCTGAGGTTCGTTGGAGCGGGCTGGTTCCTGAGTCTTGAACCAAAGGCATCACTGCATGAAGGGCCTCATTCAATTCCTCTAAAGCCTTGAAGGTCTATTATGAAGGTCTGGAGTTGATTCCTTAAGCTTCACAAGGGGGCACATGCAGCAGGTTCCTACGTGCAGCAAGAATGGGCTAGATAGAATACCTAGTTTTGGAACAAGCCTGCCAAAGCTCTGTATCGGCCCCGGACGGAGAAGAAGGAGACCACAGCACATAACATGCAAATGGAGGCAATGAGGTACGCAGCGAAATAGCCATACTCCTACCAAGCAAGACGTGCTCAAACTTCTGAAATGCTTTCTTTCTGTCTGCAATGCCCTCCTTCGGGATGCCCGGGCCACCGTTTGTGCCCAGAGTGGTGAGGAAGGAGTACGCAAAAGCTGAGCCGACGTTAATCGCCATGTAAAACCTCAGTTCGGATACTGAGTGCGTAGTCATCAGGAACCAGACCTGACCACACCGATTTAAAGGGCGGTTCTCCACTTTTGCAACCCGACAAGCGCCAAAGAAGCCAGATTCGACAAGTTGCCACTGAAAGAATTGCTCTTGGGCAGCAACCTGCTCCGGGTCTGAGACGTCGTACTGGTCCTTCAAAGCCATTTGCAAAACACCACAGCATGTGCCCAAGTCTCTACATTATAGCCACTAGCCAAATGTTTAGGGCCATTAAGATCAAAGGATATCAAAGGTTCATTTTGTAATGGCTAGAACACCCCTCAAAATTCAATGTTGTCGGGAAGTCCCTAACTCCTCATGAGCCAGCTATGATATGCTGTTTGAGTCCACTATCTACAACATCTCCAGGGCACAAACCCAAATTCTAGAGATGCTGGGTCAGTCCCCAAAATATGTGTCGGTTTGCCTGAAAGTCCAGCCACCCGGAATTGGATGCAGCAGTTGACTCGTTCCGTACGACGCAAGCTTTGCGGCTTTGGGGGGTCCAAATTCTATCTTTGGAAAGTGACTTTTCATGAGTAGTTCTTGTAAAGAAGTACAAAATATACAACTCAGCAACGGTGGTCCTCTCATGAGGAAACTGGTAAATGAATAGCTGAATAGCTTTCATCTCACGACCGAAGGACTCCCCTTGCTCCGAGATGCGGCGCCAAAGTTTGAGATGTTGGATTTGATACCGGCCGTTCCCATGGGCACCAAGACCAGCAAGGCGAACCTCAAAGGCGGCAAGGCAGTGGGCAGTGTCTTGCTATAGGCAGTGAGCAACAACCTTGACCAGCGGGAAAGCCGAAGGGTGTTGGTGTCGGGCAAGCAACAAGTAGAGCGCTGAGCTCATCAGCGAAGGTGCCGCAGCCGTAGTTGCCAACAAGCCTCCAATGCTGTAGGTCACCTCTGTGCAAGGCCCATGGAACCGTCTGAAGCCTTTAGTCCCGGAAGAACACTTCAGGATGCTGTGGCCCCTAAACGTAATCCCAAAGCCTGATCCTCAAAAAAAGCAGTCATAGAGCGTGATCCTGGTCAAACTACTTGTTCAAAGTCTGGTTGTGTGGGTGCACGATGACAGCGCAGCCTTTCATCTTGCATGGACCTCGCCATAGTCTGTCCAACAATCCCAACTCTTTCACAGTGCAGTTTGTGAATAAGCTGCCAAGGAGCTCCAAAGATTATGATGGTCCTTAGCAAAATCGTGCTCTTCGGTGTCCGGTGATTATGACATCAGAGCAGTCAATTTACTCCAAGAGCCTGTCTCCCTCAATATGCTACAGGTGAAAGCAATCACATAGATGTCGATCAAGTTCTACTTCAGATCAGTTTCCCTTGTGTCTCCTTCCGAATGCCGCTGGCATCCGCCAGCATCTGTCTTTGTGTAGGCTCTGTATCAGGCCAAGGGTCTGAAAGCGACCCAGCTGTACATCCGCCACCCAGCCGGCGAAAACCGCCCAGGCCATGCAAAGCGTGTTCATGGCCGTCGTCAAGGCGTTGGCCTAGTGCTTCTGACTGGTCCAAAGGATCCAAAGACATCCAGGGGTGTCCAGGCTAACCTTTTAAGTATCTCTGTTGAACGACCTCATTTGAGCTCAGAACGGGTGTTAAACCTATGCTTAAGCATACGCCGCTGGTTTGGAAGGATGCGTCGTTCTCACGTGTCATGAAGCGTCGTGGAGTCATACAGTAATGTGAGGATGGCCAGAAAACTCGAATCATGAGCCCATGAGCCCAAGCATTCCAGCCTGTGCTAATGAGTATCCTGTCTTCTCGAGGAAGAATTCCTGGAAGTGAAGCCCGCTTGATCCCGCTTGTGGCGTGATGCAAATTGGTGCAACTGCACTGTGCTTTACCATCTTGCCTCTGACCTTGCTCACACTTATTTCGTTTCCCTATATAAGCCAAATGGGTTCTCACTGTAGCACGTCCATCAACTTGGCAGCATCGACAAGCACAGGTGCAAGCGTCTACCGTCGCAGTGTCCCTGGTTGCACCCATCAGTGTCAAGTGTCAGGTATTTGATGTTCTGATAGGCTAGGCCTCAAGGCCCCTGTCCAATGAGAATGTGTCAAAATCATTGACATTATGACTTCACCACCATCATTACCATGCCGTGTTCGCACAGACAGAATGTTTGGTCACCATTCTGGTTATCATGACTTAGCGGTTCTCCAAGGATATGTCCTACACATCGCACAAGCATTGTAAGAACATTAGTGACATCAGACCGTCAATTTATCTTGCGTTTAATGTTTCACAACTTCCCTTTTCCTGGAGCATAACTCTCCCACCACCGCCCATGCATTCTCAGGACTCCTGGGTGCCCGTGAAGGTGTAGAACGCCAAACGCTCACAAAGCTCTACAGCAAGAATGAAGATCTGGAGCAGCACTCGCGCGTTCATCCCCGAAAATGCCATGGAAACTACTTGGGATACTGTCGAGGCATTCTTCAAGTAAGTATGCGTGTGTGTGTGTGTGTGGATGTTTTTGAACCGTGCCAGGAATGAGGAAAAACACGCTTCTTGTTTCTTTTGGGGGTAGGTCGTGAAGACAGAGGGTGTAGAGACCAGTGCTGTCATAGCTTCAGTAAGCTAGTTTAGCAAGCAACAGAAAGTATTATACATATATATATATATATATTATAGGTTTTTTAATACCAGTACTACCAGCTCAACCCAGAAATGCCCTCAGGGTTCCGAGATGTTTGAGAAAATTTGACTTTTTCGGTATGTAATCCTTTCCTCTCTTTCTTCCATGCATAGAGTTGGGACAAAGAAACTCCCGCTATCTTGGCACGAACTTTGACACCAGCATATTCTCTGATTGCTGAGGCACACAAGCTGTCGGCACAGCCGCGAGTTGGTGCTTCTTGGGGGAGACACTGCCATAGTCCTGGCCACTTCAAAGGAAAGTAAGCGAACACTTGCTTCAAGGAGTTGCTTTGCAAAAGCATGGAGCATAGCTCTTGGGAAAATCTCTATGCCATTGGTCCCCTCACCGAATCTGCCCACTATTCATGCTCAACTGCTATGCACTCTGTGAAACCTCCATCGAGCTGACATGAAAATGCTGCTTTGTGCCATGTTGTGATGCTTGTGGGTCCGGAAAGACTCGTCATCTGGATTTCGGTGCCATCCAATTTTAGCTAGCAGACTATCAGACCGCCTTGACGTCATCTGACGCAGACTTCAGGTTGTTCAAGACCTAGTGCAGCTCTGTATGGTTCGAAAGGAAAAAAAGAAAAGAGGCATTGCAAATTTCGCGAAGATTAATGATTGTATGGGCGCCATGTTGTCGTGTGCTGGCAGCTGGAAACCTGTGCATTGCAAGATCACGTACGGCTTGATTTGCACCCACCAAGCGCCCTATCAACAGGGTGTCATGATGGCAAAATATTGCCGGGATGTGCAAGAACCAATGGGACCAATGGAGCAAAGCTTTCCAGTCACACATGCAGCTGCACCATTAGTAATTACTGGTGTCACATACTCTGGAGTAGGGCCGAAACCACACATCACACCCCACTTGAATGTGAAACAAGTCTACGTCCGAACTGCACCCCTTCTTCGCATAGCCAGTGTCGACTTCCCGCAACCCTGGCCACCGTTGCCTTGCTCTCATCAGCCATCAGCTCAAAGCAGCCCGGCGCGGGGGTTCCGCTGGGGAATTGGACAGAGTTGCAGCAGTTACTATAATGAAGCTGTTCACTCGGTGCAAAAACCTGACACCAGGATTGGCAACTCAACTAGGAGCAAGGACGCTACTAGGGGCTCCTGGCCTTACTACTAGGAGCAAGGACGCTACTAAGGATGTCTTTTGCTTTTTGGATTGACAGCCAGGCAACTGGATGATGCCTAGCTGTCAGGAGACATGGATAGCCTGTCTGCAGAGCCAAGAAGCCAAGGACGTTTGACGTCTGAATCTCATCAGTTTGTCAAATCTCTACTTCTCCGCACTCTCTGCTTCTCTCTACTTCTCTCTACCCTCTGCATTTGCCTTGCTTGACTATTCTCACTAAAAGGTATGCGACACACAACTATGAAGGCACCGAGAGGATTTGTGGCAAGTGCCGATCCAGGCGACTCGCATGTGCATAGAGGCCTGCCATTGCCAAACGGGTCATGATCGTTACTCAGTGCTCTGGATGCTATGTTTGTAGAGGTGCACTCCTGTCTGGGCTGTCTCTGTTCCATGTCTGCTCTTGTGCAGTTGTGAGAATGCTTGCATGTAAAAACCACATGTGTCTGCAAGGAGAGGTTTGCCTTTTGCCCTTAACTTGGAGAATCTTGGAAGGATAATTCCTATTTCTCTTCCTCCACCTGACCTGGCCCAAACTGTGCCTGGTGCGTAGCTCAACAAGGTAGGTGCGTTAGGAAGGACATCACGGATCAGCTCACCTGGATTTGACGCTGGAGCTCGCGCTAACATCCCTGGCTCCGCTATCCTTGCCTGACTTCTTGGATTGGCCTGGTCCCAATCATACCCTTTGGGTCTGGGTGTTTATCCTCTGAGGAATATCTTCTCACACTCTACTAGTATTGGCTGACAGGTTTCTCAAAAGTAAGACTTGCTAAATAACACTGCGACTGTGACTGTGTACAGTGCAGTTCAATGTGGCTTTGGACTGATCATAGCCCAGGTCTTTGGATGTTTGTTCTTGTCACTTGTCATTGAAAAAAGAAAAGCTCTCTTCACTTTGCGCTCTCCTCACTTTGGGTCACAGTCTGAAGAACATGATCCATCCCCTCTGCGCTCCAACCTGATGCGGCTGTTTCTCCAGCAACCTGGCAGCCGGAGGGAGAATTACAGCCATGCTGCCTACTGGAACCGAGGCAGCCCTGCTATCCATGGAGTTCGGAAAGATCGAATTGGCAACAAGAAGGCGGTGTCAAGGCTTCGTGTCGGCTTCAACAATGTGCGATCCTGAAAGAGGCATCACTTTATTTCCCCAAAAATCCGGGAACCAAATCATTCGTGCGAGCGCCATCCTACGTCCGAATGTAGTAGCTTCCTATTGCTAGTAGCATGTTTACTCTCTTAATTATATAATACCCAGACAATTAAGTAGGAGGCAAAGACAAACAAAAAGAACACTAAACTTTGCATGGAAGTCTCCAAGGGTTCATGGAGAGCTCTGAGGGGAAGCCTTTGATGTGCCGGTGCCAGCGCAAGCCTACGATAACTCCACCTACAGCCCAAATGCTGAACTTGCAAACAGCAACTTGCAACGCTTGGAATCAGGTCAAAAGAGCGGGACCTTGGTTGACCCTGAAAACCCATGCAAATGGCCGCGAAAATTGCACGGCAGTGATGAAGTCACACTACCACTCTTCTTGTGCTTTGCTGTTTTTCTTTGGCCCCCCAAGCCTACCCCATCGTAAAATGCAATGTGTGGCCAGCAGTGTAAAAAACATGAGCACATGCGTGACGGCGCTCTCTGTTCAAATCTGGAAGCGCGACTCATCAGTATCAGTTAGTTGACCATGCCCAAAGACATGGTTGGCTTCTCTGAGAGCCTTTGAGTGTTCTGCTCAATACGATTATCAGCTGAAAAGTCCATGCACCAGCTACTGGGCATCCGAGCACGTATTGCTGTGCCTGTCTGGTTGTATACAAAGGACACTGGATCACCGTTCCTTGGGGCTGCGGGAAGGACGCCAGGCCATCTCAAAAGGTTAACTAAGAAGCGTAACAAGAAGCTACTAGGAACAAGTGCATCGCTAGTAGTAACAAGTGCCTTACTAGTAGTAACAAGAAGCTACTAGGGACGCTCCTGGCATCGCTACTAGGAACAAGAAGCTACTAGTAGCTCCAGGCCTTGCAACACCCATATGGGACCACTTCTCCTCGCAAAATTTACCTGGCCTACCCTTCAGCCTCTCAAAACCTTCGAAGACCAAGTAAGCATCAAATGGGTTGGGTTTCGTCCTCAAGGTTTATGCATTGGGAGTCATCTAAGCGTCCAAAACAACGTGATGCCAAAAGAGAAAAGTATTGGATTGGATGTGTTGACGCAGCTCCTCTGGGCAGCCAGACTTCCAAGCTGTGTGAACCAAAACACCCAGTGACCTGCTCTATTTGGTACCGGCGTTCGGCCTATCTTAGATCAAGCAATGAAATTATATGGATAGACTGGTGGAAAATGATTCTCTTTGATGTACAGTATATATGGTCAAATTGACAAACAGAGATGAATATAGTCCGTATGTATACGTCGTCTAAATATATAACTATATAAACAACTTCAAAGAAAAATATTTGTGCAAGCCTCCTATATAGCTCTGTCTATAGAACTATATGACTATAGCAACGTTCGCTCTCCGTTTCAAGAAGAGGGCCCCACCTGAACAATCGGTTCAGGATCCTTGGTGTGATGCAAGGCCAGAGCACTCGCACACCCTGTCTTGAGTTTCATGGATCTGGTGCACTTGGTCAGTGCATGGTGCCCTTGGTGTCATACTTGACCATCACAAAATAGCATACTTACTATTGTTTCACTACTATTGTTTCAAAGTGATGCTGCTCTTAAGCAAACTGCTGTTTCTTACCTTTTTTCCGAACAATTTAGGGGCAAACATGAACACTTCTCTTCTAAGGCGCCTGAGCTTGAGCCTAGCGGCTGTTTCTCCTCTCCCTCCTCTGATGCCTGACTAGCACACCGCAACTCCTCCGTGATCAGCTCCTAGCACAATGCAAACAGCCCACACATAGTGGACCGAAGACATTGAGATTGCTTGAGGTTTCCTAATCATCTTCAAGCCCCTCCAGCACTACATAGAGTGACTAGTGACGAGTGTTTTGATACTTGTCTGCAATATATATATATATATATCTTTGATGAACTTCAATCAACGTGAATTCAGCAGCTGCTACATTTTTCTCCGAACCGGCTCAAGGTCTGTACTGTCAGTACTTTAAGTGCTTTGGTTTGAAAAGCGACCCGCGTCGCGTGTGTCATCTGACATCTGACACTCTCCCCGTGGGAGCACTCCATCCGTTTAGTGTGACCGAGAGGATCCCGCAGGGGCGGTCCTACGGCCACTACGGATGACAGCTCTGGACAGAGCTAAAATGTTAAAACTAAAAGGGAAAGAATAAGGGCATACAGACGGTACACACCGCGGGCAGCAACCCGTGTGACCGTGTGGCATGAACTGACGGTCAACCAATAAACATCCAGAAATAAGGACACCAAGGCAGCCAGCGCAGCGTCCGCCTGGGGCAGGCAGCCGGGCCATTAAAATGGGTCTGGTTGAGACGTCCAGCTCACAAAGCGGCGTCCCAACAAAGGGAGCGAACAAAATGCGTGAGGACCCCAAGCTGGCAGCCATGGTCAGCATCGGCCAGCCAACCTTCAGGTTGAAGAGACAGGCTCTCTAGGCATTCTGCCGAGTCGCCCACCAGCTAGACCAGTGACATGGTGGAGAACTGAGTCACGACGAAAGCTGCGGCAAAAAGGGTGTGGCAGGGTGGGAAAAACTTTTATCTTGAGGTGTCTGCAGTGGCACTGCACCTCAAGGGAGTCTCCCAGTTTTGGCTTGAGCAGCCAAGCAACGTGGGAGACATTGACTTGAAGCTTCACAAATATTTCCTCATCACCGACCCTGCCTACCTTGAATGAATGAATATCTTTGATGAACTTCAATCAACGTGAATTCAGCAGCTGCTACATTTTTCTCCGAACCGGCTCAAGGTCTGTACTGTCAGTACTTTAAGTGCTTTGGTTTGAAAAGCGACCCGCGTCGCGTGTGTCATCTGACATCTGACACTCTCCCCGTGGGAGCACTCCATCCAAGGCACTAAAGGCATCCAAAGCACTTAGACGTAGAGAAAGACCTTGGCACTGATGTGGTAGGGCAGCTGGAGGAGCATGAGCGAGGGGTAGGTGTGATATAGTGCAAAACCATGACGTTGAAACCATAGGTCCTGTGCCCCTTTCCGGCTGATACCGTCCGACCAGTTGTCTTTGCTCTGCACCCACTCGAAATAGCAGGAGCTCCGTAGGGCAAACAGTGGACCATGTATTCGCCCGCAAGAGATCCAGGGGTCCTGCTTACCATAGCATCCCGCTGTTCTTTGCGAGTACGACCCCGGGTAAGGGCCATGAGGGCCGCCACCTTGTCGATGAACCAAATGCTCAAGCGCCCATTCGCAGCCATACTACCGTTGGTCCTTAGTGGGAAAATGTCTACAGGCCCAGAACCAGACAGGTTCGCACAGGTGGCAAGGTGCCACGTCATGGAGTTGGCTTCGCTCCAGGTGACCTTAGACTGTATCCGATATACTGTATTCACGTAATGCAGACGAGAGACCGACCGCGAATGGCACCAGCCATTGTTTTCAAATCGGGGTGAGGGCTGCGATCTCTGACCCTTAACACAAGCAAAGTCGCGACGTTTTCCCTGAAACACATGGCGATCCCAGACAAGCCTGACTGGCCCACTATACCCAGCCATCCGATGGTCAGGAAGCCCAAGTGTCCAAAGAGTTTCGCAATCATACCTGGTGCCTTAGTGATGAGGTGTCCACAGGCCCAGAACCAGACAGGGTCGCACAGATGGCCAGGTGCCGCAAAAATTCCATTGCTCCAGTCGACCTTAGTTAGACTGTATCCACCTAATGCAGACAAGAGACCGTGAATGGCACCAGCCATTCTGTCCAACTTGGGGCGATGGCTGCGACCTCGGGGCAAGGTCAGCAGGGTCGCGACGTTGTGAAGGAACCGCGATTGAGAGCACATGAGCAAATCTGGCCCGGACGGTCGTGGATCCCGGACAGGCCCTACCGGCCCAGTGTGCCAAACCATCCTATGAGCAGGAAGCACCAGCAGCCCAAGAATTGCGCAGCCATACTGGCCTGAATCTCAGGCTGACCAGTATTGTACAGCGAGGCCATCGCAGTACGCAGAGAAGGCCTCTCAGCCCCGAACGCGGGGGCCGAGCCCTCTGTTGCTGCGTACGCAGCAGGAAGAATTCACTGCCACGGGAGCACATGCCGCAACGGTCACTGCATGCCGACGCATGGTATGCCACTGCGAGAGAAAGCGCTGAGTCGGCCCACTGATTGGAACCACTGAAATTCGTGAACTCGAAGAAAACAGTGAAAATGAGAACTTGAAAAAATGAGAATTAGCAGAATGTGGGGGCCATGCAGAGAAGACTTTTCGTCCCCGAACTCCGGGATAGGGCCCTCTCTGCCCTTTACTCAGCCTGAACATTCGTCGCCACTCGTGAGCACATGCTGCACTGGTTGCCACACGCTGACGCTTGGTATGCCGCTGTGAGACTGTGAGAGAAAAAGAATTGTTCCAATCGGCCAAACGGTTCAGGAGCCCGTAATTTCGTAGCACCACGCATATAGTGGCCACCTGGGGTAACCTCGCTGAATGCCCCGCAAACAGCAGGGCGAGACACATCCAAGTCCTGGGCAATCTTGAGGTTGACCATTGCCACCATTTTTCATTGCAAGCACCATAGTAAGACTTGCCTTTCTGGAAGTCGGGGCATAGCTGCGCACCGTCTCGGACGCTGTGGACCATGGCGCCCATTGGCCCATCACTGCAAAGCACGACACGCTCCCGCATGACTGCCTGGAGGAGTTTGCCCAACGATCCTGAGCCAATGGGCCGGGCGGCCCATACTTGCACTCGTCGCTGGCGGGGTTGTAGGCAGCGGGCTTGCGGGAGGCGAAGTCCTGGCTACAAGGAAATGATAGGGGTTCTGCAAACTGTCTAGGCTGTTGGAAGACACGTCTCTGTCCAATAGGCTGAAGTGACCATTGTAAAAGACTTTAAAAACAAAACTACTAACGACTAACATGGGCAAATGGACCGAAAAGTGTTTTCAGAACGCGGGCAGGTCGGACTCCTCAGGTTTTGACATCCTGCCTAGCCGATCCGCCACCTCACACAGCTCCTGGCCCATGGAACGAAGTGCTAACGGTTAGAGCGCCGCCACTGCTTGGAAGACCTCATGGTTGGCCTTGCGCAAACAGTAGGCGCGGGCGCGCCTTGCCTTGCCGATCAACAGCGCCATGGCCATTACCACAAAATCGATAGCCCGAGTGCTGCCCATTGTCTGTAAGAACATTCGCTGTCGTTCATGAGCACATGCTGCACGGCCACCGCACGCCGACACATGATTGTGAATGTGAGAGAGCCCGATGTGGGTCGGCGCACTGATTGAAAGAAGAGACAGCGCCGGGGTATGGCCCCTTTGCCGCGGACGCAGCATGAACATTCACTGCCACCCGTGAGCGCAGGCTGCAACGGTCACCGCACGCCGACGCATGCGAGACCATTGAAAACTGGAAAAATAGGAGAACTGGCGGACTGGGGGGGCCACGCAGAGGAGACATCTCAGCCCCGCACTCCGGGGCATGGCCCCCTTCGCCGCGGACACAGCATGAACATTCACTGGAGCTCGTGAGCACTGACGGCAGCGGTCAACGCACGCCGACGCACGACATGCTGCTGTGAGAGAAATAAAAGGACCGGATAACCCCACATGATAAGTTTTACAAATTTCAATTGTATATGAACATCACATGGGAGACGGAGTAGTGAGATGAAAAGTCAAGAACGAAGTGTGAGGAGAGAAGGTATATGAGGCGGTTGTGCTAAGACGTGTAGTATAAGTGATGATGCGATGGACGAGGATGAGAAGGAGGGGAGGGAGGAGGTGTGTGTGTGTGTGTGTGGTAAGATGGCGTGCGTGTGTGTGTGTGTGGATGTGGGTGTGTGATAAAGTGTCTGATGATGTGATGAACAAGGATGAGAGGGACGAGAGAGAGAGAGAGAAGGAGGCGGAGAGAGAAGTTTGGAGGCTCTGGATTTTGCGATCAGATCCGCATGAGACCTTCAAAACGTAACACACTCGAAACGACCATCAAAGCTATCAAGTGGTCATATCCCGACCACGGCGGGCAGTGCTAGCAGGATGTAAAGTGGAGTGAGTGAGTGGAGTGAGTGAGTGAGTGAGTGAGTGAGTGAGTGAGTGAGTGAGTGAG